TGAAAGAAAGTTTCACGTATATGCTGAAATACCTCTCTGAAAAACTTGAAAAGTTTGTGAAATATGCCCTTTTTTTTGGATTTAATTTAAAAATCTTTACAATCTACCCCTGCAGAAGACTGCCAAGTTTGTGTTATACCCGTGTCGGGAGCAGAATGCGAATACGGTTTTTTTTTGTTTTTTTTTTCCCCCTCTGAATGCACACATGTGGAACACCCTGAGAAAGGCCGGGGGGGGGGGTAGATTGCAAAGATTTAAATCCAAAAGGACATATTTCACAAACTTTTGAAAATCCAGAGGGGGGGTACTCTGCTCTACCCACATATCTCCTCTGAAGATGAGGAGTGTATTTTGGCATATACATGCACTTTCAGGGTGTATTTCGCAAACGCTCCCCTTCTCCTTTTTTTTCCTACTTAGCTGAGTTAGCTCTGCAGGGTTTTTTTTTTTTTTTTTTTAAATAGCTCTGCAGGTGAAATTTTCCACTTACTTTCTTTCCTTCTTTTTTTAATCAGACATCAATTTAACTGATCAGAACACATACTAAATTTGATCTTAACCAACCGTTAAAATTGGGGAACGATTCAGAGAAGATTAGCATGGCCCCTGCCCCCCCTGCGCAAGGATGACACGCATAAATCGAGAAATAGTCCATTTAAAAAATAAAAATAAAAAGACCGAGAAAAATATAATGGTCTGATCCCACCTCTTTTCTTTTCCCAAAAAAAACGAAAACAACCCCTTTTGTCCTCAGGGGGCAAGTCCCAAAGTCCCACTAGCAGCGTTGAGCTACCTCAACGCCTTAAATGTATCCGTGTCATGTATAAATAAATGCACTTCTCATTTGAAATCGAATTAAAATGAAAATATTTTCAGCTGTCACACCGTTGAGTTGCCTCAACTAAACGGTGCAAGTGGGACATGGTCCTCCGGGACATCAGTTAAAATTGGATCTATACAGAGAGGATCAATTAGCATGGCCCCTACACGAGGATGACACACATAAGTCGAGCGAGATATGGTCGAAATTAAAAATATATATATATTGTCACATTGTGAATCAGAGCGCAAAAAAGGGGAAAGAAAAAAGGAAAAGGAAAAAAGGGGGAGGGGGAAGAGGTAAGGAAAGCTCCACCTGTTCATA